TTTAAGCTGAGATTTGGTTAATTATCCAGATGGAACCAGAAGTAACATAATATTTGCTTGAGGATAGTTAGAAAGTCTAAAATCTGATCATTATTTCAGTTTTTGCAGTTTCTGGATCTGATAAATCGTGTAATTTTGTCGATTTTTTAAAGACAACATGCCTTTTAAACCCTCAAGTGGGTTTTTAGGCACAAAAGGTTAATTACACAGAGACCTAGGTTTCCCTCATCACACACTAACACTCTTTATACTCATACAAGAGTTTTTTATTTAAATAGTTTTGTGTTTTCAATCTATTTTTTTCCAGAATATGAAAATACAATGTGCTGTAAAAAGCTAATGTGGTATAAAATGATTGTAGCTGACATCTCCTGTGTGTTCACCATACCCTGGAAACTCATTTCCCTGAGCCCTACTAACATCAGGCTGTGACTAAAAAAGGTCATCCTCATCATTTGCTGATTAGAGAAAAGGCACAGAGCTGAACAAAGCCACAGTGTCACGTAATGAAGGCTTCAACGCTCGACAAAGCTCCACAGCATTGTTGTGGGAATGTGTTCGCGCCGGGCGCCGTTCCAGTTTTCTGGTATAATTAGTCCATTTATAACAGTGAGCAGAACTTAGTGTAATTCATTTTCACTACTTAGAAGTGTCATTTGGACAAAACTGCAGCAATGATAATAAACACATCCACCTCAGAGGCCGAGCTCATCAAACCATGAGGTTGTTATTAAATCTCCGTAACGCCAGGATCCTCTTTTCGTATTCTGACTCCGACTGTTGACCGAAACGTCGCCTCCCACCTCAGCAGACAGACAAAGGAGGCTCAAGTGACCGTTGTCTGACTCCGGTCCCACCTTTATACTCTGAGAGATGCTATCTGCATGTCATGCATGAGAGAATAAATAGTCCTGAAAAGGCTTTGCCATCTGCCAGCGCCACTTTGACCTGGGTGTCCTTGGTGCCCTTGGCAACTCAGCTACTAAATCCAAACCATAAAAAACTGAAATAATCACCCTCTGAATAAGTAAAATGGGACAACAGGGTTTTACCCACCAAGTCCTGTCCCCATGCCAAGAGAATTAGCTCTAATTTGCCCTACTGCGACGATCCCCTCATAGCACGACAAATAAATCACTCCTGGAGGGCTAATGGCTCCTGTAGGAGGCTGTGGTGAAAGCAGAGACAGAAAACACCACAAAACTTGCATTGTCCTCTTCATTCTGGGTAATTACTGGGCAGCGTCCCTCCATGACAATCACTCTGAGAACCTTTATTTCTGAATTAGCAGGAGGTGGGCTGAAGCATCAATAGCGACGAGTGACGTCAGCTTGTCGGCACCCCTCTAATCCTCGGAATCACTGGTATGACTGAGAGCATGTGATGGAATACAGTCCTGCTTCAAGTCAGTGAACTCGCCATGATCTCTCAGAGGAAAAACAAGGACTGGGCCAGCGGCGGGCTGCAGTTATTCCTCGCACTCTGTTAAGACAGGAGGCTATAAACGGTATAAAAAATGTTTGAGTCAAAGGGACCTTGCCACGCAGCGAAGAAAACCAAAACAAGTCGTACTTTAAGAAGCAAGGGCTTCTGTCTGGAGTTATCATTCTGAGCTGAACCTCGCAGGGAAAAAATAATAGAGCAGAATGCGAGGCAGCTACAAGATGTTACACTCTGTGCAAGGAGCACAACCCCTCTTTCTTCACACTGAAAATCTGATGCTTTCATGCCCTTGCTCAGGTAACGTCAGGCTATGCGCTCTCTCTCGACGTCTCCACCTCTACAGCCAACAGCTGAATGCAACAAGTTTACAGGCTCTTGAAGGTCATTCTGACAAATGGAGCGAGGCGCTAACTACAGCAGATGATGTAAATCTTTGAACATCACAATCATCAAAGTTGTCTCACAGTAACACACTGTCTACATCGTAGGTCTGCAAATGTAGGTTGTATAGACAGGTTGTGAGCCTTACAGATGCTAACACAATATATTGTATACCATGTGTTTAATTCACAGTGGAGACACAAACCCTCAAGGCAGATTTCTATTTAATTTGCTGCATAGCTGTAGTTTAGACTAAAATATCTCAACAGGCTCCTGGACAAATTTCGATGCAATTATTAGAGCCTGACCAATATATCGGATGACCTACATATTGGTCGATTTCATATTTGTTTTGTCACAAACAAACCTGCATCAGCGTATATATGTGATCCAATATATGCCAATATAGACTTTATTTACAGAATATAATACAAAAAAAATGCTAATTTAAAAAAGGTCTCATTAGGTACTTTGTCCAGCAGAGCAGCTCCATTGTTTATAATAATGTGTGCAGCACATGTAGCAGAGTACGCCTCAGCAGAAAGTGGTACAGAGTCAGGTGGTGTCTTTATAGTAAATTGCTAACTAGTTTGGGAAATACTTTGTTGGAACACTGATAAACAATGACCCTATCGACACATACACATTAATAATATTGGCCGATATATCCGAATTTCTTACTCCCTAAAATCAGTCGGGCGCTACAACTGCTATACAAACATCATGAGCCCTAATATAGGATGAAGCTTGCTAGATGTTCTTCTGAGTCTTTTTTTCAAGCAGCGCCATGACGTCAACACTTGTGGTTTGAATGTTCCATTAGTCTCAAGTGTTTGCATGCTGAGCTGTTGAACATACTCAAGATGATGCTGCTAAACATCAGCACGTGAGCACTTCATAGAGAGCGTGCTGGTGTTTACGTGCATCTAATAAAGTGGGTATAGACTCCTGGTTTTCTTCATATCTCCAATGTTCTCTTGGGACAATGAGAAATGTTGTCATCTCTGTTTTCATCAGACATTCTGTGTAGATTCTCAGTCATCCAGGTCATTGTACTCCTACGTGCTTCAGTAGAAAGCAGCTGAACTTCTGCTTTTAGGTTTATGAAGATGTTTCACTTCTCATCCAAGAGGTTTCTTCAGGTCAGGACTGAAGGCACCAGGGAAGTCTAGCTGCCTTCTACTGAAGCAGGATTACATACAGGGAGGTTTAAATCCATTGTCCTGGCTGGCGCTTGCTCATAACAGTCATTTCCTCTGACAATAACAGGAAAGCCAGTGATGTAAGATCTTTTCATCCTGCTTTGACCCGGCGAGCCAAGTGGGAGCTGTGGAGACCAACATCTCTGTTCCTCCCTGCGATGCGTTTGACAAACTCGGCAGCTCCAGCCAACACCCAACACGAGACCGGAGTACCTTTTCATTAGCAATTATAGTGTTTTTCTCCAAAGTGGAAGCCTATAATGTTTGCCTCTCCCTGACAGCTCCTGCATGAAACTATCATTACTACTGCCTGTGCCATTACAGCACATGAGCTGCTGACTGGTCGAATTCAAGCCACGGCATGTGAATATGGATCAGCCCCCCTAAACCCTGCTCCTCCTCCTCATCCTCCTCCTCCCTGCCTACAAGCTGAGGTCACATCTGAATCACTGCCCCAGCAAATGACTAAGATCAGATACGGCTGAATGCTGACATTTCAGCAAGGCTGGAAGACACAGCTCTTAGCCTCGGTGTTAAAAAGCCTGTTTTTTTGTTTTTTTTCTTCCCCCCAGCGCAGCAAAGCCTCTTTCTATAAATCTATAGAATGAGAGGTGAGTAGGAAAAGCTTTATTGTGTATCTGTTTTCCCGGTGCAATCTTAGCCTCATTTCATTAACTCCGAATGCTGTAGCACTTGTGCACCCGGCAGGCTGTGCATCAGCAAAGCCTCACTGCCCAGCGGCGATAAACTTTACCGAACAACAAATTGCAATTGAGCATAAACGCACGAAAACCAACAGAGAGCGTTAATGTGGCTAATTACTTATACTACACAATCCCAAGAATTCCTGCGGGATAATCTCTACTCCTACTGGTTAAAGTGTATTTATAGTCGCCCCCCCCCCCTCCTTCCCCTCCTCCTGGGGTTTGGAAGTGACCGGGGAGCTGATGCTGGCTTTACTTGGCACACAGGAAATATCTAAGGTGTCTCCTTTCCCTATATTTGACAGCATCCGTTTCCTATGCGAGGCTTGTGCCGGGTTACATTACAAGCATTTGGTCTGAATATATGACCGGGACCTAAAAATAGACTCTTTTAACAAGAAAGTAGGGAATTAAAGTGAATGTCTGCTTCTCCTGTGTGTGTGTATATAGGACATTTTGTACTTCTTCAAACCTCCCAGTGCGACTACTAACACAGTGTTGAGCATTTCTGGAGTATTTACTGGAGGATCGCAGCTATTTTCTCTAATAAGGGAGTCAGAACAAATGGCAATTATGCAGAATGTCACCCTAGAGGCCATTACTACCATATGCATGAGGTCGGGTGGGGGTCTGGGGACAAATATGTGTTAAAGTCACATGGTCAGCTCTTAGTAAACACAACCACAGATGCATCATCCTGGCCATCACAATGCATCATTAATTGCAGTTTTGAGCTTCCAACAAGTACAATTAAAAAAAAAAAAAGAGGCAACAACTACATCCATAACACCCCTTTTGAGATTTGCAGGGATTCAGTTGCACAAACACAAAGTTGCCTGACAAAAAAAAAAAAGAGTTTCTGTTTACGCGTCAAAAAAAAAAAAAAAAAAAAAGATCATCGAGGAGGTTATATAATACGCACGATAGTAAACGCATCGCAAGCCGTGGATTTATCCCTCACATGCATTTGCCCCACAAAGATCCGGAACAGTAGTTTGATGGAGGGAACAAGCGCTCCGATCTGCGAGAAGGAAAAAAAAAAAATCTACGCGCACAGAAGAGCTCACATTGCCTCGGAATAACGAGACACACAATATGTAGAGGAAATCCGAAAACACCTGGATCTAATCCGGGTTGCCAGATCCTTTGTCGAAGTTTGATTTAAAAAAATAAAAAATGAAAGAAAAAAAAAGAGGGTGAGAAAGAGAGGGAGAGAAATAAAAGATCGCGCTGATGACAAGCAGAAATTTCGAAGCGCCGTGCGCCTTACCTCGATCCAGTGTGAGCGGTTGGACCACTGTCGCCATGACTGCTGTTTACTGGAGACTGAAGAGACTACAGGAGCTGCAGCATCACAGAGAGAGAGAGAGAGAGAGAGAGAGAGAGAGAGAGAGAGAAGGGAGAGAGTCTGGGAGTGGTTGGCAGAGCATTAATCTACCTCCATTCTCATCATGTCTCTTCACCTGGCGCTGTTTGGGAAGGAAATGGAACAATATGGCCAAAGCAGTCACCATAAAAGTGAAAGATGTGTCACTTTATGCAAGATTTTTGTTGATATTATAATAATTTGGAATGCCAAAAAAAGAAGAAAAATAATAGACATAAATAAATAAAATAAATACAATTATTTCTCATACTTTGCATTAGATCGAGTAACCTTTAACTTGAGATGTCAGCAACTATATCAGAGAATATATAAATAAGATGACAACAAACAAACAAACAAAAAACAGCTCAATAAGAGAGAATAAAAG